TATAATTGGAGCAGGAAAATTATCATGAAAATTCCAAAGGATAATTTTAGCGAACGAAGAATAATTAAGAAATAATAAGATAATTGGAGGAGGAGGAGGAGACGAAAAGGAGGTAAAGGAGAAGGAGGAGGAATGAGGTGAAGAAGATGGAGAAAGAAAAAAGACTGAGAGAGAGAGAGAGAGGCTAGAAAGGGAGATAGAGAGAGAGAAGAGATAGAGATAATGAGAGGCATTGATAGATAGATAGATAGTTAAATAAATGGATAATTGGTGGAGAGAGAGAGGTACGACAGACAAACAAACTCGTATATCCACGTACAAAAACTTGGGCTGTGTTTAATAAATTCTAATTAAAAAAAAACCAGACACTAAACTTTAAACTTTTTTAATTTGCATAAAACAGAAATTTACAACAGAAAAAATCCTTACAAATATATTCTTTTTTTTGTTTTTGTTTTGGATTAATATATTTAGAGACTCAGCCGGTGTTTTGTATTTTGTTAAGAGTTAAAGATAGTGTTATTTTATTTTTATTATTTGTTTATTATAGTTATTTACGATCATTACCCCACCCCTTTGTTATCGCTGTTACACACACACACACACACACACACACACACACACACACACACACTAACATTACCTCCACAGTATAAAATTACCCAAACTACCAGCCCCAAGTCCCAGGTAGTCTATAGGGCTGACACTCCCTTACAATTAGCCTAGGAGCCTCGACCTCATGGGTATATGTGGCTTGACACTGTATTGCCCGCCTCTTCTTTATTTAATGGTATATAAATGGCATTAAATAGAGAGAAGAGAGAGAGAGAGAGAGAGAGAGAGCTAGCTTTAATGAGTCACGAGAGAGTCAGGTAACAGTGGTCATGCTCTGTACTGATTCTTTCTTCCTCTCATGGTTGACTGGTTGTGGTGGTTGACTGGTTTTGGGTTGACTGGTTGTGGTGGTTGACTGGTTGTGGTGTTGACTGGTTGTGGTGGTTGACTGGTGTGGTGGTTGACTAGTTGTTGTGGTTGACTGGTTGTGGTGGTTGACTGGGTGTTGTGGTTGACTGGTTGTGGTGGTTGACTGGGTTGTTGTGGTTGACTGGTTTGTGGTGGTTGACTGGGTGTTGTGGTTGACTGGGTGTTATGGTTGACTGGTTGTGGTGGTTGACTTGTTGTTGGGTTGACTGGTTGTGGTGGTTGACTGGTTGTGGTGGTTGATTGTTGTGGTTGACTGATTGTGGTGGTTGACTTGTTGTTGTGGTTGACTGGTTGTGGTGGTTGACTGGGTGTTGTGGTTGACTGGTTGTGGTTGACTGGTGTTGTGGTTGACTGGTTGTGGTGGTTGACTGGTTGTAGTGGTTGACTGGTTGTGGTGGTGTTGTGGTTGACTGGTTGTGTGGTTGACTGGTTGTGGTGGTTGACTGGGTGTTGTGGTTGACTGGTTGTGGTGGTTGACTAGTTTGTGGTGGTTGACTGGGTGTTGTGGTTGACTGGTTGTGGTGGTTGACTGGGTGTTGTGGTTGACTGGTTGTGGTGGTTGACTGGTTGTGGTGGTTGACTGGTGTTGTGGTTGACTGGTTGTGGTGTTGACTTGTTGTGGTTGACTGGTTGTTGTGATTGACTGGTTGTTGTGGTTGACTGGTTGTTGTGACTGGTTGTTGTGGTTGACTGGTTGTTGTGGTTGACTGGTTGTTGTGGTTGACTGGTTGTCTGTCTGTCTGAAACGAACCATAACTGGACATGAAAACGCTTGTATGTATGTATGTATGTATGTATGTATGTATGTTAAAAGTACACATCCATACCAGCCTTTGTGTGCGTGCGTGCTTGACTGTGTGTGCGCGTGAGAGTGAGCATACAGACCGTAGCATTTATTAACCATAAATAACATGAGAGTATGACCAAAGGTGACCTGACCTGACCTGACCTGACCTCCCGTGCAACGACATGCAATAAGTTGAACTGTGTCTTTGTGGTGGGGATAGTTTGTGTGTTGGAGGTGGGGGGTGTTGGAGGGTGTGTGTTGGAGGTGGGGAAGGTGTGTGTTGGAGGTGTGTTGTGGGGGTGTTGGGTGGGGGAGGGTGGGTGTTGGAGGGTGTGTTGGTGGGTGGTTAGGTGGAGGGTGGGTGTTGGGGGAGAGGGAAGGTGTGTAGGTAAGGGAAGAAGGTGTAGGTGTATAAGTAGGGGAGGGAGGGAGGAGGAGGAGGGGGGATGTCTCACACACACACACATGACGATGCAGAGAGAGAGAGAGAGAGGGATGCAAACCAAGGCGTGAGGCGCGAAAGTGACCTCCTCCTCCCCCTCCCCCCTCCTCCCCTCCCCCGCCCCTCTCACCTTGGTAGTACAGGTGAGGTACGTTTGCCTGAGGGAAGAGCAGCAGCAGGGCAGGCAGTCACCTCCAGCACCGGTGTACCATGTTGAACTTTACCTAGGATATCCTGTGTTGGGAGGAGGGTATCTACAGTATATCCTGTTATATATCCTTTTTGGG